ATATAATTCATCATTATTTTTGAATGGGTGCATTATCAATATTTAGATATTATTACTATTACAGTAGGAATGTGCATTTCTAGTATTTATGCTACGGTAATCATAATCATAGTAGCTATATTACTTCGGCAGTGCAAATATTTTCTATATACCAGTATACTATAATTTAGAATTCATGCCTGCAGTAGTCGTAGGAAAATATTATGAATACTTCATTAGATTACAATACCTTCCTTTAGTATAGGCCCATCCTCTTAAAATTCAACACAAACTTTGGTTGATTTTGGGGAGGCAGGCTTATACCTAGGTAATCCCCGATACAAATCTTTACAAAATTACAAACCTAACAGTGACAATGCTATTATTATAAAGCCGACCAATTGAAAAACATTTTTAATACTGCCTAATTCAAAGCCAATCATTGGTCGGTTTTTCTGAAAATATATTCATAAAAGTCAACTGACCAAATCATTAACATCGTACCCCGGGCTTTTGCCCGGAAAAACCCTAGTATGTAAAATTGTAATTAGTATATTTAAATTTAATCTATTGATAACACTGATATATATTTTTTTTAAGAAGATCTGTTTTAGAAAATGAGTGTCTTATTGTTAATATTAACAATATTTTTAAGATTGTTATTGAAAAATTTCAGAAAAAAACAAACACTGCCTCAGAAAAAAACAAACACTGCCAAATAAATATTATATTAAAATAAAATATAATTTATCATTCTGTTTACCAGGAGGGAAAAAAGTAAACTTGACTGTCGGTAATATAATTTTAACATTTGACAAGATTTGGTCTTCAGAGAGTAATGTGGAAACACGTCGGAAATATTTGAAAAATATGGCTTCCTATTACCTTGAAAATACCACCAACTCTTTATCACTCTCATCTCTTAATCACAAAATGAAAATCCTATTTCTAATTTTAAAATCATTTTTTAAAAATATGAGACTTGTTTTTTGCTTGAGTTAAATTTTCTGTGTAAAATATCTTGACGTAATCTCAAAATCGGGTTTGTCGATAACTAGCATCTAGTTTTCTTTGTCATATATCCACTCTATAAAAACAATTGGTGTCACTGTCTCCCCCCCCCCCACCACCGCATTCGTGTCTGTTCATTAATAAATTTTTGTTATTGTTTCTTATGTCTTAAAGGCACTTTCAGACAGGTTTTTTTTTTGCTGTGGAAGACATGACCATTGACTTTATCAGTGATATGGTAGAATCATTACAACATGACTTTTTGCTGATTTAGTTTGAATTTTTTTTTCCTATTTTGTGGTTAATTTCTAGGTAAATATAGTTGACCTAGAAATATATTTGGATTTTGACACAGGCAACTCTGGCCTATGACAACCTTTTATTTCCCTTATTTTTTTCGCTTATTTCCATTATATTTTGTTAATATGTTTACCTCTGCCAAATAGGTTATATTCACCACTGTCTGTCTGTTAGCACGACCATGCAAAAAATAATGAATAGCTAATCATAGAATTTACTGGAGAGGTACATATGGGACTACGGAAGAGGTGATTAAACTTTGGGAGGTAAAGGTCATTCTGATTCAATTCAACAATTAAACATTTTTACATATTTAACATAAATTAAGTAGAAAAAAAAACATCAAAGATTATTGTACAATTACAAGGATATAATATAATTGATTAATTAAAACATAAATCATTAAGGGACCTGTATTTATATAAGGTTCTTTGCCAAGTTTGATGGAGGGACACAGTGTGGATACATGTAATTCGGAGACTACCCAATCTTCCAAACGATCCTTGTTAGCATCATGTACCTTTTTCCATTGGAATATCAAGTACTTTATTTGAGGTTTTTTTGTTTCTTAAATCAATTGTGAATATTATTTCAATAAAATAAACTATTCAGTTCATAGCCAAGTCCCTAATTAGTGTTTAATCTACTGAATTCATATATAGTAAAAATTCATTTTTATTCTGGTAACCAGTGACTGACTTAAATTAAAAAACTCTTTTTATTAATTTTAAATTTTCCCATAAAATTAATATAGAACTTAACAAATTAGTTTTACAATTCTTTTTATAGACACTCAAATCATTTTATACAAAATATAACATTGCTATTTTTTGTTTAGTTTTCTTTACTGTACATAATTATTTTTAATAATAGTTTTAAATATAGTTTGATTATACATTGATTCTTAATGTTGACATATTTCAATACTGGTAAACCCATTTGATTTGTTTTACTATTTGGTACAGGTAATCACTTTGCACTGTTGTATTATATATGTGTGTCTAAAGTTGCTTTAAGTATCTTGAACAAATTAAATAATAATCATATACAGGTATTTGCAGAGACAAATAAATAGATTTTTAATTTTTTTTTTTAAATTCCAAGCTGCTTTTGGAAATCTTATCTACAACATTTGATGCTGCAGTTATTTATATTTGTATTTTACCAGGGTATATTTCTATAATATTTCCATGTTTATTATAGCAGTTGATGAATCAGTGAAACATGCACTGCTATGCCTTCTGGGAAAATCAGCACCAGATCGAAATATGAATAAAGGGAAATGGTCTTAATTGTAACACACTCTCAATACGAGCTACTGATTTCCCGAACTTCCTTGCGGATCTATGAGGCGATAGCCCCTTCCTTCGATATAGTGTTAGTCAATTGTCAACAGGGGGGCTAGTCTAGGGTAAGGCAGGAGCAGCAATGCTATGATATCAATCGATGAGGAATGCTGTAGTACGGCTAGGAAATTAGTAATAAGTTCTGAAGAAAGTTTGAGAAAACTCCATCCAGGATTCAACAGAATTCTACTAAATAATTTCAGATGGCTGCAGTCAACACAGATTATTATTATCTATTAAGTGTTTTTTGATCACTGAGGAACAGCCAGATAATAAGATATTCATATCCCACCCTTCTTCCTTAAACTTCGTAATTCTAAGTTTGAGTTTTAAGTACTGTATATGCTTTACATCCATGCTTGAGTGATTATACAAATTTAGATGAAATCCAAAATCCAAAAGTGGATTTTACCATTATTATGTATACACCATTTTATTGGGTCTATTTTCAAACAGCACCACCAGCATCTCACAACACTTCCCCGGGGCACATCCAGCAGCCTAGTCTGCGAAAATTCCATTTTTCCAGACATATATCTTCTTTCGAGTATTTTTGAAAAGCAAAGACACTGCATTTTTTATGTGCACCTTTTTTTTTTCTTTTTTTTTTTTTGAATTTTGTTTTCTCAGACTAGCCTAGGCCTCTACAACCACAAGGTTGTGCACCAGTCACAGGGCAAAGATACACTCTAGTAACTACATAGAGTCAAATGCTTAGGCCTCTGAATATCCCCCTGTGGTAGTTGACAGGTTCTCGGAAATTTTCATTTCAAATTTAGGTAAAAAGGTGTATAGACACTGATAGTAATTGTTGGTTTATTTACTCAAAACATTTTAAGCTTTTAAAATTTTAAACACTTAAAATTTTTAATAAACCTCTTTTAAGTTGGTTTTCTCTGAAATTTGTTTTCATATACTCAACTTCTTGGGTATTAAATTACAAGTATTATAAATGATAGTAGCATTTTTTATCTCTGGTACAAAATGACTCATTTTTTTTAACTTTTATTTTGGAAGTCTTCTTGTATGTAAATGTAAAGCTAATGTTGAAGTGATCAAGGAAGTTCAGATTAGGCCTGTGGGAATTTGCAGTGACTGCAGCATAGTGTATACCAATAGAGTACACTCACAAACAATCTCATCTTTTCGAATAATGTATCCAGTTCTGAAAGGTCCACTGATTAATCTCAGATAAGATACTATAACACATACTCCAAGTATAATACATACTCCAAGTATCGAAATTCACGCCATCGTGTCGGGATTCAATATTTCGACACTAATTATGTCATCATCAGTTTTATTTTATGCATTACTGATATGCCATTATGTATAGTCTGAATGCCTCATTCAAAGAATTCAAGTTCTCAAAATGAGTTTCTGAAATGTTTAAGATAATCATTATCACCTAGGCAGAACATTTTTCATCTATATCATTATCATTTTTCATATCAATTTAAACTGTTCTAACCAAAAACCAAATTCAATGCCCCAGCCACCAAAAGCATCCTAACATAACATCATCAATTGTCACTAAAAATAATACCACCATAACCACCGTGATTCAGGTGATCATAATGTCAAGCTTTCTGCTAACTCTGTCTGACCAACCTACATTTAAATTTGTAGGCTTTATTTACATACCAGGGTCCTTAGGTCCGAAGTACACTATAGTGTAGTAACCTTGCATTGTTCAAATAGGCCTACCGTAAGTTAGTTTACAACATTAGCCTCGAGAAGAAGTCCATCTCGAAAAGAAGCCCATGGGCTTCTTTTCGAGATTTCGAGAACATTACAGACTGTATAAATTACAAACACACTTGGTTTAAAGAAAAACTTGTACAGTAGTTAGGTGATATAATGCCAGTTAATACACTCCATGATATAGATGTTACTGTGGCCCTATTTATTCTTTTATTAACTAGTAGTATGTTCCCGAAAATTTACAGCATTCAATTTAAAAAGAAATCCCTTCTATTTACTTTTAAAAAGTAGCCTTGAAAAGAAGACCATCTCCAAAAGAAGGCCATCCAAGTGTCACAAAACAAGCCTCCACCCAGGGCTTTTATTCGAGGTTTTATGGTATACAGTAGTACCAATGAGGTTGTTGTACCAATAGGATATTACCAATGTGGCACCAATATTGTACCAATGTGGTACCGACGTTGTACCAGTGTGGGGATAATGTTTTATAATTTCATTTTAATTCAGTACCAATGGTTCTATGATAACAAGAAGATACTAATATGGTGGTACCAATATGGTACCAATAATAACAACATGGTTTTCTGTAATGTGGTACAGAACCTTGTTCATATAATATTTGTAAAAAAAAATATAGGTGTAAAATATAACCCATCTTACCTGTCCTGTGTCCATCATGTTGGGATTATGACCTTGTGGTGGTAACTGTAAATTTGAAATATTAATGTACAGTTAACAATAATATAAACACATTTTTTTGTAATGTATCAAAAGTCCAATTTAAGATTTAATTAAACAAATAAATCCATTTTACATAAAAAAGGAGAAGGATGAAAAGTTCCTCCCACCGAAAGTCCAGCCCACTACTAATTAATTACTATGCTTAGTAGATTTCTGCTATATTTAATGAGAGGTGAAAGTAAACCAAATATAAAAAGGTGGCTCAAAAGCAATGATAAAGGGATCAAAAGTATGAAGAAACATGGTTTCTTTTTAATTTGACCTTTACACTTATACATACACTATCACACATGTACAACCTTGGTAAAAGTGCACACCATATTTATGAATGGAAACCATTGACTTAATTTAATACCAACTTAACCATGTAATAGTACCAATAGTATTATCTGGAATACTCTTTACATTCAGTACCAAGCAATAGAGATTAAGCGATTTCCTGTTCGTTGGAATCTATATATAATAAAGTTATTGCTGGTTGGAATCAATGAAACTATTAATAGTATCAATACTATTTATGTATATTAATATATAGCAATTATTTTCTATGGTTTTTTTTTGTTGTTTTTTTTTTTTTAGAACTACTGCAACGGTGGAGCAACTTTTGGATTACTACTGTACATAGAAGAGTGTACATAACTATTCCAATGGGAGAGATTTGACAATCTGCTAAAAACCAAAACAAAAGAAACCCATTTAAAAATACATTTATTTATATCACTATGCTTGTTTCCTTTTAAGGGATATTATACATTATACTTTTTGTCTTGTCGTGTGATGAGCAAAGCCTAGGCCCCACTTATAACATTGTGCTGACGGTAATGGGGACTGCGACCTCTATGTTGAAAGATATTGATTGGCCCTTGACCACAGCACCACGGATCAGCGAGTAGACAATAACCAAAATATGAAGGCTGATCGGTTTGAGCTCCTGGATGAAGAAGGAGCCTTGGCGGAGGGAGAAATAACAATAAAATTTTATTGACAAAAAAAATACGGTAAAAAAATATGTGCCAGAGGGGAAAAAGCAATAAATGGCACATTTAGGCCCTTGCTCGTGATCTCATCTTTGCGATGTTTCAATGTTCAGTAATCAGATTAATAAATAATATAATTCCACCATCACACATAACATTAAAAATTAGGAGTGGTTTGGAGCAGCAGGTGCATTCTGCTTCTCAACCTTTAGGTTGGAGGTTCAAATCCCTCGCTGTGCATTTCGCACATGTCCTTAGGCAAGGTACTTTACACACAGTTGTCTATCTCAACCTAGCTCTATAAGTGGGTACTCTGGTAGGTTCAAAATCAAAATGCGCTGATTACAGCTGCAACATTATGGAGCTGAGTATGTGTTCCATGTGCTTGGTCCAATGACCGGAAGGTGGAAGGGGAGGGGTAATAATGTGAAGCGCTTTAAGGCCTTGTTGGCATTAAGCGCTTATACATGTGTAACATATTAATATTATAAGAAGATTTGAATGTTCAGTGGAGTAAACAGAATATCATGTACAGTTAATTAGCATGTGGCTCCTCTTCTTGCAGAGTATACAAAATATCAAGGAGTTGAAGTAGAGGTGAAACAATGCTGGGCAACAAAGAAACAATGCTAGCCAGGATTCACAAGCCTTGGTTAGTTATTAGGGATCGCTAGCCCTAGCTAAATCGCAAGAAAGCTAGAGCATAAACTTAAGTGGCGTCAGTGGTAAGTTAGTCAAAGGAGTAGAAAAGAAGAACGCCAATTCTTGCTGTGGATTGAGATTTGAACATGAAATTGACAGGAGATGACCGTAATTTGGAAAGTGCAAGGATCCAGAACAGACAACCAGAATGTCAAGATGTTTTTGCCACGTGAATGAAGTCATCACAGCCGAGTAGCTCCGCACTTGAGATCGACATATGTGGAGCTTTACTTGGCCCACTTTGTCCAAATTACTACTGACACAACAATGTCTACAGTACAATGACATGATGTTCTCAAGACATGTAAGGTCATACATTATGACTAGTTGTCTCTTTGACAAGGACATTGAAAAAAAATCTTCTCAAAGCTAAAAATTAAACTACATTTACAGTGGCAGATTCAAGGGGAAGGGGGCTCAGCCAGGCCATTCCACCCCCTTCCCCCACCCCACACTTAAATTTTTCAAAAAATTATTTTTTAATAATTGAGAAAATAGAAAAAAAATATAATTTTAAGTCTGAGGAGAGTGCTATTTGTAAGAAATGGCCTAGACCCTCCATCTGTGATGTCCCTCAAGGGCCCTCTATTTCAAATTCTTAGATCTGCCACTGATTTAATAGGACAATTTCTAATCTTATTTCATATTTTTTATCGAATAGACAGGGTTGTAGCTAAAGATAAATAAGGGTGTGGTGATAGACATTTTGAGGGTGGGTGTAGGTGATACCACTGGTATACTCTAAATGATAAGAGTGGATTTTAAGGATGGAAAAGTGGGTTAATAAAAGTGGGTGGCGGGCCATGATATTAGCTTTACACTGGGTGGCCCCGCCCACCTCCGCCAACCATACATCCCTGAATAAAAACTCAATAAACTCATACAATTTTTGTTTTTCTCAACGTACAATACTTGACCATTGTCCATTCTGACAGCAACTGGACAAATACTACTTGTTTGATCAGAAATATTCTTCTATACTATTTTTATATTTATAATATACCTTTAAGTTGCATTCTGTAAACAAATAAAAGGTTTTCTATGAGAGACCAGATGAGGTTGTTTTGTGTATTTTCGTCAATAGTAAGCTTTCGGTTTAACAACAACAGTAAGATACAGAACGTAACGACATTCTACAAAATCACCTGCGCATGAGTTTAGTTCCCAACGTACAGTACTCTGAATTGTAAGACAATGTTTAGCCCAAATCAATGTTGTTTCGAAAACGCAAGACGGTCACAAATGATTAAATTCACTCTATGTTCATATCGTACAAGCCGAAAACTCATCTAGTAACTAGAAGTAATAATAAGGTCAAAGTTTATACATTTATACCAGTCAAAATAATAGGGTCCGAGATGTAATTGGAAATACAAAAAAAGTAAAATAGAACTCGAAGCCAGCACTAAAACCACACAGTATGGGTATACACCATCATCGTTGACCATTCAAAACATGCACTGACCAGCACCAGTTGATTCTTGGTAAACCCTGGACACTTGGCACCTCTTTACTGATAAAACTAGAAGAAAGCTAGTGATTTTGGCTGCACAAAGTGTTATAAAAAATAAAAGTTAAGAAATGAAATTAAACCATAATAGCAAATGCCACTTTCAAAGTTGCAGCGATTGCAAATTGTCACCAAATGCACATGTCACAGTGACGACCAACTTGTCACCGTTCAATCGGCTTGACCTACATCTGCTAAGCAAGTAGCTTCCTGGTGACAAGTGACAGATCATTGACATCATCAGGACAGTCACTAATATTTCTCTTTTATGTCAGATAAACATCAATGTCACAAACAGAACCAATGTACTATTCATTGCATTCTTGCACTTTAATATCTTTTTTTTTCATTTATATCTAGTTAATGGAAATTAACACTTGAGTTTCTACATGTCCAACTGAGAAATAAAATCTATTAATTAAGGCATGCATGACTTTTCAATAACAAAATATAAAATCAATTCCAAAAATCAATTATAAATAGATAAAATAGTCATAAATCAGTATTATTCCGACTGTTGATAGGGCAGAGGGATCTGTGGCTATCACTGCAGTTGCCCCTCTCAAATATAAGGTATGGGGTTTGAATCCCTTATGCAAGGCACTTGCATGGTACACACCTGTATGAATTTCTTCACATAGGAGAAATATAGAGATACCTGGTTGGATGTGAATGTAGGCTGTGGAATATTCAACCTGGTGATAATTATCAATACATGACTGTGAGGTTCCCCTGGGAGAAAAATCCATGGATGACAAGGAACACTGCCCATGGACTACGGCAACTACACTGTGTTAAGTATACTGTTACCATCTCTCTTACCCGAGTAAAAATGTGGATCAAATATGTTTGGACAATTTGAAACCACCTAAAAAGCCACCAACTTATCATATGACTCTACAACCAATCATATCCAATCACAAGACTGAAAAACTAAGGATGTTTCTATTTCCAATAGACTTGGAAGGATTAATGCTGTTTACGTGAAATTATCTCATGTGTGGAATTGTCACAGTAGGAAATAATACACGATAAAAAGTCAAATTTTGTTAAAATGACTAATGCACTTCCATTGGTTATAATCACCTGAAGGTTGAATCACGAAGGCCACTGACAGGAATGTTACTATGTTATGCTGACTCGGGCTGCGGCGAACTTCCTACGATTGTTAACGCTCACGTAAGGGGACTACTAACTGTAAACTGAATTACCGATATAGTCTCTGTAGTACTGCCGCGATACTAAACTAAAATGTACTATCAATTCCAACACTTACTAAGAAATTTAAAGGAAACTATGTGGAGCTTGTTAACAATTTAACAAAAAGTTTTTTTTTTCTTCTCCTGGAGAAAAGAGGCATATTATATACACTAGTCATTAACTTCATACACTAATTTTACCATCAAATATGAACTGTTCCTTTAATTTTTATTATTTCGACCCTTATTTTGGATATTATTATTTTTGTCAATTAATGTAAATTGTTATTAAATTTAAAAATAATTTATTTTCTAAGAATCAGTCGGCATTTTAAAATTATGTAGCATCATCACCAAGTAATGGAGTAGCAGGTACTATATAGATGTAGCATGATTACTATAGTGATTTAATACAGCATTAAACTGTTTGGCTAAGTTTGTGGCAAGTACATCATATCTGAATATGTTGGTAGCAGGTAATTTTTAGCATGACAGGTGTAGCATCATCATTCAGTGCAGTGAAATAATTGTGGCAAACAATTTATACTACCAACTGCAGTAGTAGTAGCATGTCGTGCCTCGTATAGCATTATTATTTTAAAGCAAAGGAAGTGACAATGTTTCTAAAGCCTGAATCATACGATAAATGTCAAGAGGGCATGCTACACTTGTGTGAAGGTCAATTTTTGTTTGGCATCTGATCTCTCTCCTGCCTGTGCTAATGTCTGTTAGTTACTCTTGACAGGGCTACTCCCTCTCTAGCTTGGGCTACTACAAGGTGAACCTGCCTCAAAGGTTCTAGCTAGGGCCTAGGGTGATACTAATAAGAATTTAATCGTGGCCTAGATATATGACAAGCCTGCGGTAATACTAATTAAAAATTAACCTAGAGCTCAAAAGATCTTAACCCTGGTTACAAGTTGGCCAGGTAAACAAGGAACCTTGGGCTGAAGTCACTACAATCTGGCACAGGGGAACATAGCATCGAGGCAAAGACCTATTTTAATGAAATAAGTCCCCTTGCATGACAAATCAGATTAGCAAAGGTTGAACAGCAACCAAGAGAATTAAGTGTTATTGTGGGTCAATTTCACAATTCCAAAAACCTTCCTATTATTCTTTCTCTATGCTATTATATAATCATACATATTTCTAGATGCCTTTACAAATGTATGTAATGCATATAAATTTGCTTTAGTGCATAAACTAAGTCTCAAAGCGCTGTTTAGTGGAACAGAATTAAAACAGTCTTAAAAAGATAGTTTTAGAAAATGTTTGGGGAAGTGGAATTGCAAACTTAAAGAAGCAGGGAAGTCAATAACAAATGGACCAACAACAAAAAATGCTCCATAATAATAATAATAATTTGCGATTTGTATAGCGTCTCCCATTGGACCAACCTCGAGGCGCTTCACAACAACGGAAAGAAACGGACAAGAGAATAAAAAAAACATGAACCTAGACTAACAAAGAAAAAAGAAAAGAAAACGCCTAAACGAACCAAACCAACACCAAAAATCTTATCACCATAAGATTTTTCAACTAGATGGAGTGTGAAGAACAACTGTGTTGGTGGTAGATCCAAGCAAACGGCTGCACAGACCAGACCTAGGACGAACTAAATTTCCAATGTACGGAGGAGCAATGCCATGGAGAGATTTATAAGTAAAAATAAGTATTTTAAAGGCAATCTAACAGGCAGCGAATGAAGAAGCTTTAATTTAGTGTATTGCCCTGATATTGTTGAACCTTTTTAAACAGCCGAGCCGCAGAGTTTATCTAAAGTTAAGTTTATCTGTTAATGACGTTTCTTTAATTTAATTATATATTACAAAATCCTATATCATGAACACCAAAAAACCAAGAAAAGTAAGGCTTCTCGTTCTAGTATTATCCCTACACTAAAAGAATAAATCTTTATTTACATCAATAATATGTATGCTTAGAAATTATTATGCACAAATCATAGCTTCCACATCTGGCACATCACCCTGTCCTCCGAGAGCTTCAACGGCTTCCCCTTGACTCACCATTTTAAGTTAAGATCCTGCTCCTCAATTTCAGAGCAATTTTCTTTACGAAATCTGACAACTTTCGCTAAGTAATTAACCCACATTAATGCTCACTTGCAGATTATCAAATATATTTTTTGGTTTATATTCTCTGCGCAACTACCAGAATTACTGAACACAAGAGGTCATTTTCATTTGATGCAACACAATTTGAAATCAACTTACTCACAAACTGTTTTCCTATCTATTTTTATAATTGCTACTGCATATTACCTGTTTCTTCCATAGTTTTTAAAAAATGTTATTGTTCATTAAGTTGTATTTTTGATGCATGTGAGGGACCCAAATGATCAGCACAGCTAGATGGGCTACTCTTGTTAAATATGGTTTTAAATAAAAAAAATATATAAATACATATATAAATAAATAATAAACAATATTCATCATTTGCTTCTTTTAAGAAATTAATAAAATTATTAATTTCAAGAAATTAATAAAATTATTAGTCACTTTTTACATGTCTAGAATCATTAATACTAAAAATCGGTCTTTAAAATTATTGCTATATAAATATTAATTATATATTAATCATCTCCATGTAAAAAATGGAGTTCTGTTGACACCACTTAACAGGGGTCAACACTGCAGCCCCTATCCCCAACACTCTCCTCCTGTAATCTTACTCATCTTTATCTTTTAGGATATAGACTTACCGGAAAGAATCCAGGTGGCATTGGTCCACCTGGCATTCCATCATTGGGATGCATCTGACCCATTACCGGACTTGGAGCTGATGCACTCTGTAAGATACAATAACATATATGCAAATGAGATATGCAAATTGGAATATCAGTCTAACAAAAAAGAATCAAATAGATCCTCAATTTGTCCTTGTTTTACTTACCAATATAAACAATCTTAGAATTTTTTTCTGAAAGGCAGAAAAACTACACAATTGCAAAAAAAACCATGGGCTTTGCCTGGAAAATGCAGGCATGTGAAATTAGATGTAAGGGGCAGGCTTGGTATAGCTGAAGAAATATGATAATAAATAAGACTATCTTCTCAACATCTATTATGTGTTTGGTTTTTTTTTGGCATGGAGAAAGGCAAAAAAAAAAGAAGCGAGTCTCTTTCACAATAACGATCTTGAAACCGTGGATACCTTCAAACTTGCAGTGTTTTCAGTCAACACTGGAAGAAATGGTAGTTTAAATTACAACAGAAAAAAAAAACTGATAAAATTATTTGTTATATCATATAGTAATTGTAAATACATACAAAGGCGTCAGACTTTTATTTGAAAGGTAGTGACTTCAAAGATGGATTTGGTCATTAATCAAAGTGTCCAAATATACAATAATAATAATAACTTTATAATAATATTAAATAATAATAAAAATGATTTCTTATATAGTAATTGTAAATACATACAAAGGCGTCAGACTTTTATTTAAAAGGTAGTGACTTCAAAGATGGATTTGGTCATTAATCAAAGTGTCCAAATATACAATAATAATAATAACTTTATAATAATATTAAATAATAATAAAAATATGATTTCTTATATAGTGTCCAATCCGCCTCAAAGATATAGTACACTCACAGCGCTTAATTCACTATTAAGACTGCTTTGAAAGCTATGCATCAAGTGTTAATGAAAACTTCTGGAGTTATGTGGTCGTGCATATGTAGATACAACACTTAATCTGATGGACCTGAGGATGATGATAATGATAATGATTATGATGATGATGAGGATTACGATGATGATGATGATGATAAATGACTGATGATGGTGATAATGAATATGATGAGGAGGATGATGATGTAAGCAAATGTGCAGCATAGAGATTTATCACATGGCTTGCTTCAGCCAATTAATGTAGCGCATAGAAATATTTCTTTACTAAAAGCCATGATTGGAATGATTAACTGTGTACTCTTTCACCTTAAATATATTCACTAATTGACCCTTGACACTTGAACTCTGTTGCGTGTAGGTAAGGAATTTGACATCCAATCCTTGCCCAAAAACAGCATAAATACTTCACCAATAAAATGTGTAAACATTTTAAATTTCACTGTCAGACACCCAAAAGCAAATACTGTATCTCGCCAACCAAAAACCTTTTATATATTTCTGCAGAAATCGCCACTTGATTTTGCTCAAATTGTACAAATAATTTATACGCCACAAATATATGCTGCGCCCTGTGGGGGATGAGCACATATCCATGATTGGGTACGTCACAGGCCCCTGCAAAGTTTTTGCATATTAGGGCACAGTATTGACAGGGAAAGTTTTCACGTCTTCTACAGCACGTGTTTTATATTAAGTTAAGTTTAGTATTAGACAAAATATCGTCTAATACTAAAGATTATCGTTTGCGCAAACCTTGGATTGGGAGGAAAATATCTTGCACCGAGTACATGCAGCATGCGAGGCACCCACAATGGATAGTTTTACAATCCGCTTTAGACAACTAGCAAACCACAAGGAGAGTTTTACAATCCGTTTTAGACAACTAGCAAACCACAAGGAGCAGTGGTATATCTAGAGTCTTGAGGTTCAAATAGGGAAGGGGGAAAAAATGGGGACTCAAGCTAGCTTACAAAATTAGGCAATTTTAATAACTTGAGTACAACCGTGTTGCTTCATTAGATACACCACTCACAAGAATACCATCAAAATGTATAGCTTAAAGTTAATTGTAGAATCACATTTATAGCGATACACTTTTGTTATGGTAGACAAAACCCAAAGAGTTGTTTTATTCCTATTTAATCTGATCGATAAAAAAAATGAATAATCTTTCAAAAAGTATTAAAAAAAAGTCTTTCCTAAACATTAAAATACATGAAATTGAAAAAATACTTTTCCATTTCCTTTCTAATTTTTTTTTTATCTGTACTTGTGATGATATTGAATACGGTAAGTCAAATGAAATTATGGCAACAAATGTACTAGGTAATATCCATTGACATATAATTACTAGATCGCGAAACTAGGTGTCAACATTTGTAATTCGACTTTTTAAGTCATTTATATTTCAATCTGTCAAGGATCTTCTGCCTGTTGACTGTCCAATTATCAGATTGAAATACTATCGTCCAGTTCATTATACACACACGCTTCTTTCTTGCTAAACCACGTGCATATCATAGAGGGCTTCTCACAATTCACTGATGCATGTAATTTATTTAGCTTTTAGGATTCGTCTCAAGTTAAGAAAATTATCTTTAAATCATTTCTGAAAATTACCGACTTCTATCTTCTTGATTTTGTTTAACGATTCCAAAGATTGTTAATTTTATCCTAGACTCTCCCAACAGCTGACTTTAATAAGTCCCCCCCCCCCCAACCACCCTTCCACCCAATTAATCCCTAACCCAACAGGGTTAGTTAGGCCTAGGATATAACCACCTGTCCCTATTCTATGTAGCCCCTGCAGCTAATTCCTATTTATCATAACACAACAAAATTGTCCAGATAAGTTACTAATTACATTTAAATCATATTAATTCCATCTCAGATCATACAAAAAAAAAGCATCAGAAATAATATACAATAATTTGTATCACAAACTAACTTCAGGACAATTAAATTATTATTTCAGCATTTTAAAAGTAACTGTTTCAAGCTCTTATGTTGCATTACCATGTACCATACGTTTGTATTACAGCCCAAATATATAATATGATTTATTACCAAGATACCAGGTATTCAAAATTCAAGAATGGTCAGTGACAGTTTGCTTACTAACAGGGAATTCCCCAAAAGACAATAATAGTAACCACCAGTCGGCAGCACTGTAGTAGAAAGTTCCTGATGTCCATTTACATCAGAGGGCTGGGTGTCATATGTTGGAACAGCCAATCCAATGCCCTTTGCTTTGACTGCTACTACTGGCTGTGTTGACCTTTGTGTAGTACGCACACACACACACAAAGAGAACGATCATCAACACAGTCCCAGTGTTACAAATGTTTTACTATAAAGATTTCAATGACAAAGATTGATATAGGTAGTTGCAAGAACAGTAGTGTTTACTATATTAATTAATAATAGGAAGGAACGTCTAAGCCACTTGACATTGCGAATTTGCTATAATAATCACACCATGTTCAAGAGTGCACCTCTTAAATATCCATTCTAGAAGGGGGGAGCTAAGATGGAGTTCAAATAAAATGCTTATGAATAACAATGGATAAATAAACCCTTTGTCAATGAGATACAAAAATGGTATGCATATATTGAAAGGTACTTAATACAAATAATGCAAGTTTCTTAAACAAGTTTGCAATGAACTAAAAGATTTACTTCTGCATTTTTTCTTTAAAATGAATATCAGTGAAAATTCTGAACATGATTAATTAAAATATGATAAAAATAAATAACCGCAATTAATGACTTTTTTCATTTTAATGTCAAATATTTTTATTATTTTTTTTAACTAGAAAAAATGTCAGTTCTGAAATGAATACCACCATCCAGAGCTTACTTCTTTTTATGGGACTTGCAATTTTTTTTTGTTTAGTAATCTTAAGTTTATCAATGCCAAAGAGTTTTACGATAAAATTATATAAGGGCTAAGTCCACTGAACAAGTTGATATATAATATTCATGTAGGGGTCTATGTAATTTTTCTATGCAATATTTTCCAGTGGCAGAGAAGATTCCTTTGTGTGTTGATCATATGATTAGGGACGGTCTACAATGGTTCAAAATAGACAGAAAACCAGCGCATACTACAATGAGAGGCGTTACGCATCACTAAACTTCAACAGGAAACCGACAATAATAAGCTGGTGTAATTGCCAGAATACGCAGTTTCAAACACAATCTGCAAATTAATTTTGACAAATGCTATCATTAATCTTTTAAGTTTTACTATATTTTTTTTTTTTTGACATCTGAAACATCTTTGTAGTATTCAGGCAAAAATGAGCCTCATCTCTCAGCAGTTTCCATATATAGACATGTTGATTAGAAAAATCTCTATAAAATGTTAAGGACCAATAGGACATCAATAATTATAAAGTCAATCAAATGTATTTGTATTTATTATCTTAATAATTTATAGAATACTCAACACCGATCATTACAAATTATTTGACAATTACTTTGTATTTCCGATCTGTGTCAAAAAAAAACAAAAAAAAATCAGTTTCCAAAGTAAACAGTACATTTAGTTATACTGTAAGACAGCCTAAATATAAAGTAGGGACTTTTCACCCAATCTGCATTGTGATACAATGCACACTCCAATTACAGACCCCTCTAATTTGAGACCACTTTTCCAGAAACCCAAATAACAATCTTCAACCTTTTAACACCCCGAGACCACCCCAAATTTTCAGGTCCCAAGGGTGATCTCGAATTGGCGGGCAAACTGTAGTTCTATCCATTCTTACTTGCGTTTGATAACACTTTCATAATTTTACGTTCGATAAATGTAAGAAACGTTTCATAATTCATTATGCATGCATTTTCAATTTTCACAAAATGGGCGGAGCTATCAGATTGGGGAACATGTTTTTAATAATGTTTACGTACGTTTGCAAAAGCATATTGTACCCTACATATTTTACTCCTGACGGATCTAAATATGTGTCTTATGGAACTATCTGTCTTTGCCTACTGTATGTCTAGTCTATAAATAAAAATAACTTACCAAAATATTAATGTCTGAATATTTAATTAAGTTCATGGGCTGAAGCAGACGCAGGGTGGTGCAGACAGTGGGATCGCACCCCACTAAATTGTATTAATAAAAAATAATTGTTGATATATTAC